ATGAGCACCGGTGTTCATTAGATTATTTCTGTATATATATATATATATATATATATATTAGGTATATCTATAGCCAGAGTTCCAAATTTTTTTAAAAAAATGTGCAGGTTTTATTCAAACTTTTGACATTGATCCCAAATATTTTTAATTAGTGTGACGAAAGGACCCTTGGACTATTTTCAACTTTTTTCTTTAAAAGTTCTTGTTAGAAGAAAATGAAGTTGATGACTGAGCTATTTTGATGTTGAGGTTGACAAAAAAAATATTTATCTTCCGAATCCAACTAATCTCAATCTCTGACTCATAACGCATCCATGAAACAAAACATTTTCTGTGTTGACCGATGAGCTTCAAAACGACCACTGTCGTTGAACTATAATTACAACGATGTCAGCCACCGCAAGTGTAAAATTTTCTAGATAGTAAGTTTCGAGGATCAATGTAATCATATTCAATGGTAAATTCAAAATCAAATTATTTTAAGTGATTGCGAATAACTGATTGTCAATTTTTATTTTTACTGGCCATCGAAATGCATGCAACTAACAATATAGTTTATAAATATTTTAGAAAAATCATTTTCACTAGAACAGATGTTTACAAAACATGAGGTGATATGTAGAAATAAAACGGTTAGCATAAGCTTGACAATTTTAGGTAAATTGTTGAAGTTTTTTATGTCATCTTCATAGTGTGAGAAGATGCCTGTTTTGTGAACTTACATTTTGAAAGAAACTAAATCAATGAAAGTGAGCACTTGTTTTATGGTGCTTAAAATTATATTTTCAACAAATTTTGATAATGACAAATTCAATTAAATTAATTTCCCGATACACTCTAAGAAATACATTTCAATATTGCACCATTTAAAATTTCGTTGTTGACAGTATTAGAAGTATAACCATGCCACTTGTACAAGGCCAGGGGACCCTTTTTTGTCCCCCCGATGGCAAGGGGATGGGAGCCCCAACACTTGTCTTGTACAAGTGGAATAACTTTTGGAGGTAAATTTTGATACGTTAGAGGTAATCTAATCGTTGAAATGAAAGTTGATTGATATGACGAAAATCAAAAAGTCAAAAATTTCATTATTTCTCGACAAATGAACTTTAAATTTTTCTTTACCAGGCCCCACAAAGTTGCACCAAAAATTCAATTAATTTTTCTGACGCACTCCGAGAAATACATTTCGCTATTTCACCATATTCAAATTTTGTTATTGACTTCAAAGGCTTAATGACCATATTAGAGGTAGAACCATGCTCCTTGTACAAGTGCCTTCCTATTTCTCAACCAATCAACTTTAAATATTTTTATGAGGCCCACAAAGTTGCACCAAAAATTCGATTAGAGGCAAAAGTAAAAGATATTGTTCCCACAATTTTTAGAAACTGTCTACAATCAAATATCTTATTTAGAAATGCTTGTTAGTCTGTTTGGTCAATTCAAATAGCCGCCCTCTGCATAATCAAAAATGTTTAGTCCTACAAGATCACAAGAATTAATAGTTTATTGATTTTTAATTAACAATAACTTCAACATGGGAATCGTTGAAATATTTCTTCGATTGAAAGAGTTTGATTCCTATCATCCATTACTCCATTGAACTATAATGGAATTAGAAATTCAAATAAACGTATGGGGTATGTTTGCACCTAAATGGGCACCAAAATTGGACTGAACTATTTGTCACGATACTACTCCCTCACAGTTATGGAATAAGATGTCGATTTCTCAATAAGATGCATGAAAGTTTCGATCTAAGGCACGCAACATATAGCAAACTGGTTCATCCACTTGCATAAGACTTGACTCAAATAAACAGAGGATGGAACAAATATTTATTAGGGTTTATAATGTGGGATCATAAATTGTCTTATTTCAATCCACTACCGAGGTCAACAAAATTGTAATGAGAGAGCACTTAACAATTGGTGATAATACCTTAACATAGTTAATGTCTTGATCCCAACCATGGCATTTTGTCGTATGCAAGAAGAAGAGAAAATACTAAGAAATACTACAAAAGAAAACTCAATCCTTGATTATTAAAAGAACCAAACACATAAAATAAAGTCATGAGATTCATTGTTTATTGAGTTAGTATTAGATTGAATAAACTAATATTTTGTAAGTCCATAGAACATAACCACATAATAACTTCTAAACCCTTAGGAAAGTGACCTTAATAAATACTAATTAAAGATTGTGAGAATGCTTTACGAAACTTTACTAATTTGCTATATATGATTACTTCATTTGATGCATTTGACTTGTGCTCTACTTTTATGACTTATTCGTTGAGCATTACAAATTGTCTACGTTAGCGCTTAGATAATAACTTCCAAAGTTGCAATTGATTTCGTATTTGGCAGGCAAATCGATGGATGACAAAATGCTCCATTTTGACTTTCACGTCTAGTCTTTTTCCTAGAAATCTCCAATGAAGGAGGGCACTAGGAGGGCAACCACGACCCTATCCCACACTATTGCAATCCTAACAAAAGTGATGGAGAGGAGATCGGAATAAAAACACGACTAAAAACTCGTTGATTTGAAGAAATTAAAAAATATAGAAAAATGGAAATTCATGGATTCACTTGAAATAACGGTAATTGATTTTGATAGACAAAGTTGTGGGTTTTCAAGAAATTGGATGAAAAGAACTTGAAAAACTCTAAAATTCTATAGTTCTTATTCATTAACGATCAAAAAAGGACTGTCTTAGCTTTAGTAAAAAAAAATCATACAAAGAAAAACTCCAAGGTAAAATCAATTGAAGTTCGAAAATAAAAAGAAAAGAACGTCTTTAAATAATGGGTGTGTATTGTTCCCTAATGCTCATATAATATTACGTGACTACATATCAAATATATTTGATATATTAGATTAAATATCATTAAACAAAAAAGAAATTTTATTAACTACTTTGTTGAATCAATTCCAATATAACAATTTTACTAAGACCACAACGCGTCAAGAAGTCAACCACTTAGGTAGAATTATAAAATGGGGCAATATTGACGTGCAAGAATGGCTGGAAATTGCGGCATATCTATAAAGCATACAGGGAGCAACTCCTAGGTGCACTGATGTCAGTGTTTCATCATGTTCAACTCCTAAAGTTAAACTAGGATTAGTGGATTATCTGAGGTGTCCGACAAACTAACACTGACTTTGTAACGCACCAAAATCTCACAAACGTTGTGATGTTACCAAAAATTCAATTTCGAAAGATAAAATAATATTCTTTAAATAAAAATAATTGAAATACTCATAATTTCAAACATGAAAACATAACCACAAACGAAATAACTATTTTTGAATAAATAAAATTGACTAATAATTTAAAAGTTAAAAAAAAAAAAAAAACTTAATGTTTTATCTCTTCAACTTGACAATCACATCACCATCCCGCTTCTATTTCAATCGATCCGAACTAACCTGTAAAATTTTTGTAAGAGTGAGTATTAAAAAATACTCAATAAAATACGTACAGTTTCTATACACAATTATATGCGATAAAATAAACACTTCATACCACTCTTCTCTTACGGAGTACATCGGTGACCAAGCGACACACCCATCTTAGATCATCTTAGATTTCCGTAGAATCTCATATCTTTTAATAAAGAACCCAAATGTCCACTGATAATTCATGCATACATTACTGAATATAAAAGTATAAAAAAAACTAATAACTTGCACAAAAGTATCTTACCTTGATTGATCAAAAGACCTTTTGAAAAAAAATATATACTAGAAATTTGCCGCTGCTTTATATGAAAGTTGTCGTATAAAATTCTTTGGTGGTGAATTAGATTGGGATGGAAAAATCGTATTTATCAAATTGGATAAAAATTAAATTTTTAGTAAACAAATCATAATATGACACGTGTACATAAAACATATCACAATAAAAATGTGATTCTAATCTCAATACATAATAGTGATGGCAACTTTTAACTTCAAATAGAATTCTAAAAAAATTATACCACATCCATTCCTTAGATACACGTGGCTATTTTAAAAAAAAATAAACAAATAATTTTACAATTTCTTTGAATTTCAATATCTTGAGACCAACTTATCTGAATTAACTTTTTCTCGAGCCTAATTTACATGATTAATTACGAGCTATCCAACGAGCCCCATATTGGTATATCATCACTATATCAAAATCCAAATATTTGATCCAAAAACGTAAAAATTTAGAACATACTTCAATTTAGTCCCTCAACTTTCAAAATAATAATATATAGAACAAATATATTTTTATTCTAAAATTTTCAGGGCGTTGCAGATTTTTCCGTATTGTCAAATATTTAAACGATTAGTCAACATTGAACGTGAAATGTTTTATAAATGATGTAATAAATAATATTTGAATATGCATGAATGTTAATTAATTTAGAATTGACACTAGAAAATAGACATGTGACAATGAATGTTAAATCTTTCATTTAATTTTTAATGAAGTAAAATTGGACATTAATTAGCATACATAGACGTGAATAATAAAATGCATTCTTAAATGTGAAATTCTAATTAACTTAGAATTAGAATTAACAATACTGAAATGCAT